AATTAAAACAAAACTTGTGAACTTCTGTGATAGTATTCAATGACATTGAAGCTTGTTTAGAACGATAAGATTTTTTAACGATTATTTTTTAAATTATCACTTGAATGAAAAACGTTTGATGTTGAAATGTAACTCCGATTTTTATTCAACACTTACACATTTTTTCTAAGTTTATAATTTTTTGTAAATTTTATTAATGTTTTTTTTTTTTTTTTTGATATTTCGATGTGTAAGTCCTTTTGGTAGCTTTTTAACTATTTTATTTTGAATTGTTCTATATTTTCTTTGAATTTTATTTTAATGTCTTAAATTTAAATTCTTTGGTTACTTTTACATGAGCACTTGTATTGCTTAACTAAACGACTAATGTCTTTATAGCTTTCAGACCGGCCTTATAAATAAAGAAATTATAATTTGTATAAATTTAAACACAAAACTTTCCGTCCCCCATTTAAAATAGTACAATAAAATCTCACTTCTTGATTAAAAAAAGAACTACAAGAACAAAAGTATAATACAATAATTATTATAAATTATATTTTAGGCAATGCTGCAATTAAACTTTAAATAACAAACGATTAATTATGTTTTTAATACATGTTGAACTACCGTTGGTAGTTGACAACTGGATGGCGTGTTTGTGAAAGCAGAGAAATACCGAAATCAAAATTTTTCTTTACATACATATGCAGATTAAACCCCGAACCGAAATCCAGAACTGAACTAGAACTGAACAAGAACTGAACTAGAACTGAACTAGAACTGAACGAGGAACTAGAACTGAACGGAACTAGAACTGAACGGAACTAAATGAACTAGAACTGAACGGAACTAGAACTGAACGGAACTAGAACTGACGGAACTAGAACTGAACTAGAACTGAACTAGAACTGAACTAGAACTGAACTAGAACTGAACTAGAACTGAACTAGACTGAACTAGAACTGAACTAGAACTGAACTAGAACTGAACTAGAACTGAACTAGAACTGAACTAGAACTGAACTAGAACTGAACTAGAACTGAACTAGAACTGAACTAGAACTGAACTAGAACTGAACTAGACTGAACTAGAACTGAACTAGAACTGAACTAGAACTGAACTAGAACTGAACTAGAACTGAACTAGAACTGAACTAGAACTGAACTAGAACTGAACTAGAACTGAACTAGAACTGAACTAGAACTGAACTAGAACTGAACTAGAACTGAACTAGAACTGAACTAGAACTGAACTAGAACTGAACTAGAACTGAACTAGAACTGAACTAGAACTGACTAGAACTAGAACTGAACTAGAACTGAACTAGAACTAGAACTGACTAGAACTGAACTAGAACTGAACTAGAACTGAACTAGAACTGAACTAGAACTGAACTAGAACTGAACTAGAACTGAACTAGAACTGAACTAGAACTGAACTAGAACTGAACTAGAACTGAACTAGAACTGAACTAGAACTGAACAGAACTGAACTAGAACTGAACTAGAACTGAACTAGAACTGAACTAGAACTGAACTAGAACTGAACTAGAACTGAACTAGAACTGAACTAGAACTGAACTAGAACTGAACTAGAACTGAACTAGAACTGAACTAGAACTGAACTAGAACTGAACTAGAACTGAACTAGAACTGAACTAGAACTGAACTAGAACTGAACTAGAACTGAACTAGAACTGAACTAGAACTGAACTAGAACTGAACTAGAACTGAACTAGAACTAGAACTGAACTAGAACTGAACTAGAACTGAACTAGAACTGAACTAGAACTGAACTAGAACTGAACTAGAACTGACTAGAACTGAGAACTGAACTAGAACTGAACTAGAACTGAACTAGAACTGAACTAGAACTGAACTAGAAACTAGAACTGATACTAGAACTGAACTAGAACTGACTAGAACTGAACTAACAACTGAACTAGAAACTGAACTAGAACTGAAACTAGAACTGAACTAGAACTGAACTAGAACTGAACTATAACTGAACTAGAACTGAACTAGAACTAGAACTGGATGCAATTGAGCTGTAAGAGAACCTGCACCTAAAACAGAGCTGATTTAGAAAAGACCTAAAATTTAGCTGAACTAACTTAAAGCTCTTTGTCAGTAATAATTGTATGTATGTATGTATTTCCCAAGTCGTTACAAACTCACATTTTATTCAAGATAATATTTAGTTAAACAATTTTGCAAATATATTTTGTCCATTTAAAATTCTTTAGAGAATGTTTAAAAACACCTTTATCAGTTAAAAAATTAGAAATTTAACACTTATTTGACACTGATAATACCTGCTAACTTGACTATAATTGACTGACGCCTCTACCTCAGCTCCCCTATCTGTGTTATTTATTAGCCTCCTTAAAAACTTTTCTTACGTAGTTATTTCCATACAATTTGATTTTATAATAATCATCTATTTTAATAATTACTGAACCCCTATCGAAGTATTTTCCTGATTTAATAATTTATTTTTAATGATTCTTTAATTGTAGAAATCGTCAAAGTACTTAGAACTTTATGATCTGTTTTTCTCTTGGCGATAAGACGAAAGTTCATAGATTTTATTAATGTGTGTGAATTTTTATTGCGAATATCTAAACCTCAACCCATAACAGATTATAAAATAACAAGAGAAGAGATATAAATGTGATAAATAAAAAAAAGATCGAGGGTTTTATCTAAATGCTAATATGAAACCAGATGTTAATTGTTTATCTCTTTGAGTAATAAAGTTTCTTCCAAACAATGACATAAATTAATTAAATTCAACAGTTTCTTCTGTCACCGAGGTTACTAACACAATGAATTTAGTTAAATTAAATAGATATATGAACAGAATTAGAACTAGAACAGAACTGGAACAGAACTGGGACAGAACTAGAACAGAAAGACTAGAACAGAACTAGAAAAGAACTAGAACAGAACAGACTAGAACAGAACTAGAAAAGAACTAAGAAAGAACTAGAAAAGAACTAGAAACCAGCACTAGAACAGAACTAGAACAGAACTAGAACAGAACTAGAACAGAACTAGAACAGAACTAGACAGAACTAGAACAGAACTAGACAGAAACTAGAACAGACTATAACTATGACTAGACCAGAACTAGAACAGAACTAGACAGAACTAGAACCGAACTAGAACAGAACTAGAACAGAACTAGAACAGAACTAGAACAGACTAGAACAGAACTAGAACAGAAACTAGAACAGAACTAGAACAGAACTAGAACAGAACTAGAACCGAACCTAGAAATAGAACAGAACTAGAAACAGAACTCGAACAGAACTAGAACAGAACTAGAACAGAACTAGAAAGACTAGAACAGAACTAGAACAGAACTAGAACAGAACTAGAAAGAACTAGACCAGACTAGAACAGAACTAGAACAGAACTAGAACAGAACTAGAACAGAATAGAAACAGAACTAGAACAGAACTAGAACAGAACTAGAACAGAACTCGAACAGACTAGAACAGAACTAGAACAGAACTAGAACAGAACTAGAACAGAACTAGAAACAGAACTAGAACAGAACTAGAACAGAAAACTAGAAACAGAACTAGAACAGAACTAGAACAGAACTAGAACAGAACTAGAACAGAACTAGAACAGAACTAGAACAGGAACTAGAACAGAACTAGAACAGAACTAGACAGAACTAGAACAGAACTAGAACAGAACTAGAACAGAACTAGAACCTAACTAGAACAGAACTAGAACAGAACTAGACAGAACTAGAAAACAGAACAGAACTAGAACAGAACTAGAACCAGAACTAGAACGAACTAGAACAGAACTAGAACAGAACTAGAACAGAACTTGAACAGAACTAGAACAGAACTAGAACAGAACGCTAGAACAGAACTAGAACAAACTAGAACAGAAGCTGAAATAAAACTGAACTAAACCGAACTAGAACCGATTTAGGAATTAAGCAGTCTGTTTCATGCATTTTATTGTCCAGATCCCGTAAATTTCCAAATGGGCATTGTTATTTAAAGTTGCAAAAAGTCAAATTTTTACAATTAAAATTTTATAGGAAATATGTATAAAACGATAAATAATGTTATAAAATTTTAAATCATAAATTGTCATGATAACACTGCCCACAAATCTCGTGTTTAGCTCGCATACCCCAAATTTTTTGAACTATAACGTCCATCAAATTATTGTGCTCTTACAATAAGCAGTTATTTTTTAATAATTATACGATATGCTGGCACTTACTGATTTAATAATTTATTTTTAATTATTTATTAAGTGCAAATTATTAAACGAAATTTATAGAATTTTATGATCTAGTTTTCTTTGGAGCAAATTAAAAGGTAAGCATAATTCGATAGCAAGTAGAGAACGGGCTATAACGGCCAATATTTTTCAAAGGGGTTTTTTTTGTATTAGTCAGTCCAGTGATATACATATACAGACATATTTACATAAATACATATATTTTTAAAAATTGATAATGTTCTCAAGTTTAGACGGTAAGAAAAAGATAAGGTTTGGTTAGAAGATAAATAGTCAGAAAATTTTTGTATGAATTAAAAAATAAATATTATCTAAAGTACTAGTATTTGGGCAAATAAGTAAACAAAATAGTATTGATATTTTGGGCATGTGCTAGTTGTCGGGAACATGAGTTCTAAGACTTGGCAAATAACTAACAAATTTATACGTCGAAATACGTAAAAAATAGAAGATTAAATAGAAATTTCTTAGAAAAAATGATTTATTAAAACAAAATTTAATTAAAAGGGTACTTTTTTTTTTTGTTTAAAAACACTTTGGTACTTTTTGGCACTTAAAAGTCTGGCCAGATTTTAAAGGTTACCGGAAAGCTTCAAACAAACGAAAATATTACAAAAAGCATAATAATTGTTTTTATCTATAAAATGTAACTACAACAAAATTTTAATGAAAAATGATAAGTAGAAAAATATGAATAATTTGTCTCAATATTTTTTCTTATTTAAAGATAAAATATCTGCAAAACGTAGCATCAGTATTGAAAGTCTTTAAACAGTAACACGAGTTTCCCACGATTAAATACGAAATGTTTAAAGGTAAGAGAGAACTTTTCTTTTGGAAAATTAAATGTCTAACTATAATTTCCCCTCTCCTCTTTTCAGTCTACTTTCTTTTCCTCATGGCGGGCTCATTGTTTAGCCTTCTGGCAGCCCAGTCTATTAGCATAGATCTGTTGTGTTCCTTGGCACCCAATACCACTATTCTACAACCCCATAGTTGTACAGAATGGTTAAAATGCCCCAGTACTATAGAAGCATCAGACATGGAAACGGGTTCTTGTGTAGTTGGCCTGTACTTTAACAAAAATACGGGCAAATGTGACTATAAGGAGAATGTTCAGTGCCCCTTTGAAATTAGCTTCAAAAATCGTTGTTCTCCGGCAACTGAAGGCTCATTCTTGGTAGATGAGAACAATTGCAGTGGTTACATCTATTGCCAAAATGGTGGTAGAAATGAAAATCAGTTTGCCCCAACAATTTAGTATTTGATCCCGATAACAAGGCCTGTGTTTATCAACATCAATATAAGTGCCCCTAGCCATAACAAAAACATGGCAGCAATCCTCTCGTGCTTGTCTCTGCCCGACAATATGTTCTTTGCCCATCAAGAGATTGCTCTAATACAGTCAATGTCAAAAGGGTGTCCTATCCTCCCATTCCTGTAATAAAAATTTTGCCTGGGATTATGTAGAAGGTAATTGTGTGCCTTCTGGAAGAAGCTGTCTGTTTGCCTACAGCCCAAAAACCCGAACCAGAAACTTAAGGTATGTGTGGATCGTGTGGGTCCTGTACCGATGATCATTCCTGCAGTGGTTATTATTTCTGCCGCCAAATGTCCAATGATACTCACGATCGTAAACCAGAACATTTCACTTGTGCAGCGGGTACCTTCTTCGATTCGAATACACTTTCGTGTCGCAATCGTTTAAATGTGAAATGTTCTCTAGATCGTTGTGAGGGTCATGGGCAATAAATATGTCAATATTGCCGGAGATTGCAGTTCGATCGTCTTGTGTCAAAATGGTGTGGCTGGTTTGCGAAATTCCTGTCCCAAAGATCATTATTTTGATGAGCATACCCAAGGTTGCACACCCCAAGTTGTAAGCTATGCAGCTTGTGCAGCTTAAATTTTATATTATAATATGTTGTTCTTGTTGTATTTTATTTTTGTAATAAATTAATAATATTTTCATAAATTTCAATGAAATTTTGTTTAAGTTTCGTTTCTATTCTAGTTTCTGTCTCCTAGTTTGGTTCTAGTTCTGTTCTAGTTTCTGTCTAGTTCTGTTCTAGTCTAGTTCGTCTAGTGTTCTATTTGTCTAGTTTTGTTCTAGTTCTGTTCTAGTTCTGTTCTAGTTCTGTTCTAGTTCTGTTCTAGTTCTGTTCTAGTTCTGTTCTAGTTCTGTTCTAGTTCTGTTCTAGTTCTGTTCTAGTTCTGTTCTAGTTCTGTTTGTTTGTCTGTTCTAGTTCTGTTCTAGTTCTGTTCTAGTTCTGTTCTGTTCTAGTTCTGTTCTGTTCTAGTTCTGTTCTAGTTCTGTTCTAGTTCTGTTCTAGTTCTGTTCTAGTTCTGTTCTAGTTCTGTTCTAGTTCTGTTCTAGTTCTGTTCTAGTTCTGTTCTAGTTCTGTTCTAGTTCTGTTCTAGTTCTGTTCTAGTTCTGTTCTGTTCTAGTTCTGTTCTAGTTCTGTTCTAGTTCTGTTCTAGTTCTGTTCTAGTTCTGTTCTAGTTCTGTTCTAGTTCTGTTCTAGTTCTGTTCTAGTTCTGTTCTAGTTCTAGTTCTGTTCTAGTTCTGTTCTAGTTCTGTTCTAGTTCTGTTCTAGTTCTGTTCTAGTTCTGTTCTAGTTCTGTTCTAGTTCTGTGTTCTAGTTCTGTTCTAGTTCTGTTCTAGTTCTGTTCTAGTTCTGTTCTAGTTCTGTTCTAGTTCTGTTTTCTAGTTCTGTTCTAGTTCTGTTCTAGTTCTGTTCTAGTTCTGTTCTAGTTCTGTTCTAGTTCTGTTCTAGTTCTGTTCTAGTTCTGTTCTAGTTCTGTTCTAGTTCTGTTTAGTTCTGTTCTAGTTCTGTTCTAGTTCTGTTCTAGTTCTGTTCTAGTTCTGTTCTAGTTCTGTTCTAGTTCTGTTTAGTTCTGTTCTAGTTCTGTTCTAGTTCTGTTCTAGTTCTGTTCTAGTTCTGTTCTAGTTCTGTTCTAGTTCTGTTCTAGTTCTGTTCTAGTTCTGTTCTAGTTCTGTTCTAGTTATGTTCTAGTTATGTTCTAGTTCTGTTCTAGTTCTGTTCTAGTTCTGTTCTAGTTATGTTCTAGTTCTGTTCTAGTTCTGTTCTAGTTCTGTTCTAGTTCTGTTCTAGTTCTGTTCTAGTTCTGTTCTAGTTCTGTTCTAGTTCTGTTCTAGTTCTGTTCTAGTTCTGTTCTGTTCTAGTTCTGTTCTGTTCTAGTTCTGTTCTAGTTCTGTTCTAGTTCTGCTGTTCTAGTTCTGTTCTAGTTCTGTTCTAGTTCTGTTCTAGTTCTGTTCTAGTTCTGTTCTAGTTCTGTTCTAGTTCTGTTCTAGTTCTGTTCTAGTTCTGTTCTAGTTCTGTTCTGTTCTAGTTCTTCTAGTTCTGTTCTGTTCTAGTTCTGTTCTAGTTCTGTTCTAGTTCTGTTCTAGTTCTGTTCTAGTTCTGTTCTAGTTCTGTTCTAGTTCTGTTCTAGTTCTGTTCTAGTTCTGTTCTAGTTCTGTTCTAGTTCTGTTCTAGTTTTGTTCTAGTTCTGTTCTAATTCTGTTCTAGTTCTGTTTTAGTTCTAGTTCCGTTCTAGTTATTAAGAAGTTTTAAGAAGTTTTTTGACATTTATCAATAATATTATTTTTAAACTTTAAAACATAGTCAAAGTAATTACCTAACTTTACCTGGTCCTTATGCGGAGTTACTTTTTACCACCCCATTAGTACCTGAAATTAAACAAAAAGTACCAAGAATGCAATAAGTTAAATTAACGCAAATATTTTATATGTATGTATATATAGAAGTATGTTTCAACAGACCAACTATGTATGAATAATATAGGTGGTCAATGGAAAAACAGATCCATCAAAATCAAAACTGTCAGATAGTAAATATGAAATATCAGATTTACAGATAATTCGATTAGTTGTCAATGCATGGATTTGTTATAAAAACCTAGAAACTTTTTTCAAATAAGTTCAGTAGTAATTTTAACACGGAATCGAAAAAGTTGTTTTTTTAAGATTTAAGCGAACTAACCTAGTGACATTAAACGAAATGTGTGGTAAGTTCTAAAAATAAAAGTTTTAAGTCGGAAATAAAGTAAATAAGTATTAGTGAAAGTTTAAAAATATATTAAAAACTAATTTGAAACTTATTTAATATATATAGTGTTGTGTAGGGTTTTAATGTTAAATATACTACTATTCAGTATTTTATTGAAAATTTATTTGAAATTAATAAAACCTTGAAAATTTTTATAATTAAAACTATTAATAATACATAGATGTTCTTAGTTTAAAGTACTTGTGTCTTTTAAGTAAGTCTCGTATTACTGAAATCTTATCATTTAAATCTTCTAATAACTTTAATTGTTTTCCACACATTTACCGAAATTTTGTTATCGAAGATTTCATTAACGAAATTTCTATATAAATTGGGGATTTTTTTTTTTTTTTTTTGGAAGACAATAATTTTTAGACAAGCCCATACATATATACTTACATATATGTACATATGTACATACATATGTTGTAGTTTTAGATGAAAATATTTAACACTTTACTTTCTTGATAATTTATAACCTTCCAACCCCCCACCTCCCAATTGTTTTTAAATCGACCAATTTACGCATTAAATCACAAATCAAAACAAGGCCGACTATATAATACCCCTTACACCGGTTACAAAAATAAAATGTGATTTTATTTTCATAATAAAGCATTGTAGTTGAATTGTACCTTGCCTCCGATATATTTAAGCCATTTATTGTTGAGTAAAATTGTGAACATTTAAGTCAAATTTTGAAGGGGGCTTTGTATAGGTGCTATGGTCAAAAGAGACTCTATTATTATAAAATTCATGAGAGTCATCAAGGCTAGTATAGCACTTGGTTTTGCAGCTTTTTGTTGAGATACGAGTATATTAAACATAATATGAATTTAAAAGTTCTATTCGTCGGGTTGGAGGCTAGGTGAAATAATGGACCGATATTAACCATTTTCAATAAGCTTTGCCTCCAGTACCATAGAAGATCATGTGTCAAATTTCATTGAATTATCATCAAAATTGCGACCTGTAGTTTGATTACAAGGTTTACAAGCCCTATTCGGGGGTTCAGTTGTATGGGGGCTAGGTGAAATAATGGACCGATATTAACCATTTTCAATAAGCTTTGCTCCAGTACCATAGAAGATCATGTGTCAAATTTCATTGAATTATCATCAAAATTGCGACCTGTAGTTTGATTACAAGGTTTACAAGCCCTATTCGGGGTTCAGTTGTATGGGGGCTAGGTGAAATAATGGACCGATTTAACCACTTTCAATAGCTTATTTCCGGTACCATAGAAGATCATGTGTCAAATTTCATTGAATTATCATCAAAATTGCGACCTGTAGTTTGATTACAAGGTTTACAAGCCCTATTCGGGGGTTCAGTTGTATGGGGGCTAGATGAAATAATGGACCGATATTAACCATTTTCAATAAGCTTTGCCTCCGTACCATAGAAGATCATGTGTCAAATTTCATTGAATTATCATCAAAATTGCGACCTGTAGTTTGATTACAAGGTTTACAAGCCCTATTCGGGGTTCAGTTGTATGGGGGCTAGGTGAAATAATGGACCGATGTTAACCACTTTCAATAGCTTTATTCCGGTACCATAGAAGATCATGTGTCAAATTTCATTGAATTATCATCAAAATTGCGACCTGTAGTTTGATTACAAGGTTTACAAGCCCCATTCGGAGGTTCAGTTGTATGGGGGCTAGGTGAAATAATGGACCGATATTAACCCATTTTCAATAAGCTTTGCTCCAGTACCATAGAAGATCATGTGTCAAATTTCATTGAATTATCATCAAAATTGCGACCTGTAGTTTGATTACAAGGTTTACAAGCCCTATTCGGGGGTTCAGTTGTATGGGGGCTAGGTGAAATAATGGACCGATGTTAACCACTTTCAATAGCTTTATTTCCGGTACCATAGAAGATCATGTGTCAAATTTCATTGAATTATCATCAAAATTGCGACCTGTAGTTTGATTACAAGGTTTACAAGCCCCATTCGGAGGTTCAGTTGTATGGGGGCTAGGTGAAATAATGGACCGATGTTAACCACTTTCAATAGCTTTATTTCCGGTACCATAGAAGATCATGTGTCAAATTCATTGAATTATCATCAAATTGCGACCTGTAGTTTGATTACAAGGTTTACAAGCCCCATTCGGAGGTTCAGTTGTATGGGGGCTAGGTGAAATAATGGACCGATTTTAACCAATAGGCTTCGT